CCCTTCTGTCTAGGCGGATCAGATCAGATTGGCAGTTGGGTGAAAACGAACAGTGGAGTCAGTTTACACCTGACTGCCCATAGAGCAGAGCAAGCTCTGTCTGTGTCCGCTCTGCATAAACTGAGGGGACATGGACCTGTCATCCGCCCACTCTGCTCTGATCAGCAGGAGATCTGTGGATAAATCTGCTGATCTAAACAGAGCCTGCCCTATGAAAGGGGCCTTAGTTTTGAATACTGTATGTGAGACCTATGTAAATCCCTCATACCAAGATATAACTTTCTAGATAAATTATAGCTGCACAGTGGACTTTTAAAAACTGTTAATAGAGGGCACAATGGAAAAAATACCCCTAGTAATGTCAGCACTTACAAAAAAAAAAAAGAATACCAACAGTATCGTTCCAAGCAGGGTGTACAGTAGATACACTTGTATACAGCAACTTCGGCAGAGTTCAGGTCTAAAGTTGACCATAAATCAGCAAAATTTCATTTGAACTTTTGTGTTAAAATTCAGAAAAATTTCCTCAGAGAATTTGATCTTGCCATTAACGAATTCAGTCCTGTCAACTAGTCAACCAATTTAATATGAACCTCCTTACAACTCTGATCTGCTGCTTGAAAATAAAATTCCAGATATAATGAACAGGTTTCTTTTGTGCCTATAACTTGCATAATACAATATGTATAAAAAAAAAAACAAAACACATTAATAGTTAGTTAGAATTTAGTTTGTTTGAGAAAAGAATTTTCCATCCTGCTCCTTCAAATATTCTCATCTTTATAGTCAAAAAACAATTGCTGATTTGACCTTAGTAACCACTGGAAAACTGAACAAAAAAAAAAAAAAAAAACATTTTTAACCAAATTCTACTAGTGTGTGGCCAGCTTAACGATACCTCCCAACTTTAGAAGTTGAAAATGAGGGACAACCTGAGAAGGAAAAAACCTGTGTTGCCCAGTGGGTTTGACTACATTGTGCTGGATACTGGGAGTGGCCTAAAGGAACATGGTTAAATATAGTCTGACATAAAAAAAACTTTATACTAAGTGAAACTCTGCAGTCGTATAAACCATGTAATAATCTGAATACAAGATACTAAACATAAGCTTAAAAATAGATATGTTTCTCTTCCCCTTTATATACGCAATCACAAAAATATCACTGTAAACAATATCAAGCCACTAAACTGTAATTTAGTGACAATCTGAATAAAATTAAATAAAATAACAGTGACATCCTAAAACGAGAGAAAGGGAAAACACAATGCAAAAAAGTCCATATTCAATAGTGTTCTGTGTAAAGAATATTCACACACACCAACTTCAGTGATCCACCAGGGCTGGTGCTGCACTATTTTGCGCCCTAGGCAAGACCAGCTACTTGCGCCCCCCCCAAAATATAAAAAAATAAAAAATTTAAAAAACAGTAGAAAATATTAAATCAACAAAAAATGAAACTGCTAAATTTCTTTTAATTTGCAAAAATAAGTGCCATAAGATGCCACCAGCACTAATATTAAAGACCAAATCAAAGCCACGGACGGAATGTATCTGTGGCTGGCAGTGTCAGGGTAACAGTTGCAGTGAGTGGAGGATGATGAATCCACACTCTGACAGATCCCAGGCTGGAATTCAGCAGGCACTAGAAGAGCAGGCGTTTTTATTATTATTATTATCATACAACATTTATATAGCGCCAACAGTTTGCTCAGCACTTTACAATATAACAGGAGACAATACAGCAACAATACAGTTCAATACAAGAGGGTTAGGAGGGCCTGGCTCCTTGGAGCTTACAATCTAAGACTTTGGCATATTGCACATGTGATGGATGGCCGGACAGCTGGGTTACACTCACACAGATATGAGACATGAGTCAGATACTATCTTCCTCCACAAGCGCAACTCCGACGATGATCACTGTAGAGCTCCAGCCCTTCTCTTCCCATTCATCAGCAGCGACCAGCCTGCTTGCAGTAAGGGACTGAGTCTGAGAGGAACACTGAAAGGAGCGGAAGCTCAGCTGCTACACTGGTCCCAGACACCGGGCATCTTCCTCTGTCCTTTCTTCCTCCCCTCTGCTGCCCCTCCCCTCAGCTGGAGGATCATTCATGATGTGACAGCATCCCACACAGAGAGAGTGCCGGCCTATGCTGCACCCAGGCATCCATAGGTGGCAGTGCTCCCTAGGTGGGCGCCTAGTTTGCCTAGTGGAAGCACCGTCCCTAGATCCACCATCAATACTAACTTATAGCTTCTTAACAGAAGAACAAGGCCTCCATATACTGAGGTCTTGAGCGCATGTGGATCATCACTGAAACACCTTCTAGCAAATGACTACACTGCAACAAATGGTCACCACCACAAGGATATCAAATGTGGACCATAAGAAGATCTGCTGCCGGTACCTCGCTGTGGCCAATCACAGCAGATCACATGACAGTTGTACACAATGAAAGGCTTTGATTAATGCCTTTCATTGTGTACTGTTGTGATGAGTTCTGTGATTGGTCACTGAGATCACATGGTACAGACAGGGCCAATCACAACCCATCTGTACCATGTGATTAGTTGTGGCCAATCACAGCTAATCACAAAAGTGAACACTGAATGAAAAGTTTTTCATTCAGAAAAAAATGGTTGCTTATATCTGTAAAATTCAGTTATATAAAAATCAATGTGTACAAAAAAAATAAAAATAAAATCCTGATCACCTTCCCAGAGTAGTACAGTGTTACTATGGTAATACTGTATTTCTCTGGTCGCTGTATGTAAATAGAATTGTAAAAAAAATTTTAAAAAAAATGATTTTTAAAATTTAAACTTTTTTTTTTTTTTTTACCAATATTGTCACCAGTGTCCCTGATCACCGCCATACCAATGATATGATGACACTGTACTGCTCTGGTGACAGTATGTAAAAAATGTTTACAAATTGTGAAAAAAACAATTTTTTTTTTTAATTTCTTTGTTTTCCTAAAAAATGTGACAAAAATTACAACTTCAAAAAACTTGTCATGCATATTACTAAATACCTTGGACTACTTTCCAAAAAGGGGTCATTTGGGGGATATTTGTACTGTCCGGGCATTTTCAGGCCTCAAGAAATGAGACAGGCCTTCAGGATCGATTTTCAGATATACAGTATATACCCACAGTTTGTGGACTCTGTAATTTTCCTACACTCTAGATAATATACACTGACTTGGGTTATTTTCACCAAAGAAATGTAGCAGTATGCATTTTGGCTTAAAATTTATGAAGAAAAGTTATTTATTTGCAAAATGTTTTAACAAAAACAAAGAAAATTCCTTTTTTCAAAATTTGTTTTTTTTTTTTTGTTTATTTAGTAAAAAAGAAAAAAACATCAGTGATTAAATACCACCAAAAGAAAGCTGTATTTGTGTGAAAAAAATTATAAAAAATCCTATGTATAGAGCAACGTCTGCCTTTTTACATGAGGAAACATTTGAAATAACTTTACGGTCTCAGGGAATCCCTTCTAATCTGGTGGTCATTGGGAAGATCATTGGTGTCAGAGTTTTGTAGGCAATGCCTAGGGAAGGGCAACCCAATCTGAGAGAGATTACACACATAATCCTTGAAGTTGTATAATACTTTGTATTTTGTATTGTGATTAGTAAAGTTACAGTGACAGACAGCTCACCAGGTACAGATGCTCAGGAAACAGAAGTGTAGTAATTCAGACAGCTTCCAGTATGACAGACAATAATGGCACAGTAATATAAGGTACTAGGCTGGCCTGTTGTACCAGAGGATGGTTCCCCTGAAGGGGTGGCAAACTGCAGTGTACTGGTACACCATTCTAGGCTGGTGAAAAGAATCCCACTGCACTGGTCCAAATTCTGGAACGTTCACTATGAAAAAGATGTCTCTGCACTGACCCTACTTGATCAGGAACCACTCCTTGTGCTGATACTCTCCCTGACTAATGGGGTCTCTGTCCTTCACCTACCACGTGCTCCAGGTATGCCTGAACGGCATATGAATTTCATTTCCAGGTACTGAAACTGGGAAATATTGATCTTGCAAGTCGATCAGGATGTCCTTTTTATTTATGTCATGCCTGCTCAATTAAGATTAAAGTCATGCATACATTTTGAAATAAGGTCTTCTCAGTCTAGGATTCTGGCACCAAGCGGAGCAATGTCTTCATGGTCAATATAAGGTGAGATGGTTCACTGCATTTTGCCATTGCAAACTGTCATGATATATACAGTAGATGCATACATACCAAGAAACGTGTCAATCTTGGCAATGAAGTCCTTACTTTGCACTCTGGGAGCTGCTCACAGACTCATTCCACCACAATGGTGCAGGAATTTACCTCCCTGCCCAGCCAATCACAGTAGCAGCAGCTGACTTTCAAACTGAGACAGCGGTGAGATGTGGCTGACCCCAGGAGCAATTAAAGCTTTTTTTTACCTGGTGCCTGGTACCCACCAGGCCACATGGGGCCCATGGGCCATGTGGCCAGGAGCTAGAGCTCTATAGCAATGGTTTCCAAACTGCGACCTGTGAGCTGATTGTGGCTCTTTGCCTTCCTTTCCAGCCCTTGGGGCATTATTACGTTCATTGATGCAAGGCATTATTCCTCCTTCAGACACCAAAAATGGGACACTACTCCTCTCATTGACACCATCATCAGGGCACTATTCCTCCCACTGACATAAATAATGGGACACTATCTTCCCACTAACACCAACAACTGGGCACTATTCTCTCCGCTGACATCAAAGATGGGGCACTATTCCTTCCACTGACACCAGCGATTTGGTACTATTCATTCCACTGACACCAATGATTGGGTACTAGTCCTTCTGCTGACACCAATGATGCCGCACTATTTCTACCATTGATAGCATTGATGGGGCAATATTCCTTCCACTGATATCTATGATGGGGCACACTTCGTTCCACTGACACAAATGATGGGACACTGTCCCTCCCACTGACACCAATGATGGAGCGCTATCACTCTCACTGACACCAATGATGGAGCGCTATCACTCTCACGGACACCAATGACTGGACACTATTCCTCCCACTGATTTCAACAACAGGTCAGAATTCCTCCTCCTACTGACCACAGGTGCTTTGCAATTTGTTTACTTCCACTGACCACCAAACTCAATGCATTTTCTACTCCCACTAGCCACATTCTGGCCAACCGAAAGTCTGAAGGACAGTAAACTGGCCCTTTGTTTAGAAAGTCTGGAGATCCCTGCTCTACAGTATTTTCCTTCACTCCTCCCCTGGAACCTACATAAGGTTAAGCAGGGAGCTGCGGGGGAAGAGATGCTGGGCGAGCACAGAAAGAAATCAACCTCTCCCAGAAAAGGAGAGGGCTATGATGTGCAAGGAGGGATGGGGCTATGCTAGGGAAGGTCTAGTCATTTTCTGGCAAGTTCAGAAGCACATAGCAAGTGCATAAAAATTATGGAAAAGAAAAAAACTGCAAGCAAGCAGTTAACATAAAATGGTTTTTGACGTATGTGTAAAATCCTTTTCATGGAGTACATTATAGAACACAGTATCTGAGACAGTTGGGTTTTATACTGCTTTCAGGTGATTGGAGACCAGCAAACAAAACTGTAAGGATAAGGAAGAAAAATCTGGACAGTCACACACATTGTTCTACTTTTATTGCTTCAAACAAGCACAAAACCAGAGGGAGAAGAAAAAAATGGGTTTATGTCTTTTGTGCTACCCTTAGCACTTAATCATGACAGCATCTATCCTCTATCCTTGCAGCTCCATTCATATAACTTCATGTGATTAATCCACAGCTGCAATCAATAGACTGGTAAGTATATTCTCCCTTTCTTCTGATAAAACTTCACTATATTATATCCAATATACACCAAAACAAAAAACAAAATTGTGACCAAACCAAAATAAATGCGTCTCCAAAATAAAAACAACAATACAGTGAAGCTAGAATATACACAAAAAGCCCATCAAATGGTCTACACTGCCCAGGAGAGACAAAAAAATACCCCCACCCCCCCGGAAAGCAGCACCTGGGACCACCTCAATCTGTATACGTTGCAACACATAAAATAATGTATAAACAAATTATAAATTTATTATATTTTATATATATTTATATATGGAATTATTTCCATATGTTTATAAAAGCACAATCATACCAACTAGCCTTTATCTATATTCCCACAACAAGCATTCAAAATCTTAAATGTCCCCCCAGTGTATATAAAGACGTGTTCTTCATCCATTTTTGATATAGTATTATCCTTACTAAAAATCGATACAGTATTTAAAATTTAATAAACTGTGTTCGTTTAAAAAAATCTCTATAAAAATAAGCAAAATCTCATAGAATCTAGAGTCAAATCGTATACATAAAAGAGAATGAAGCAATGGGTTGATCGGCAACTACAGCCCATGGTGGGAGATCTTTCCAGTTTACAGGATGCAAAACAGTTGTTAAGCTCCATGCAGAATTTTATCTGGGAGAAGTATAACTAGATAACATGTGATGTATCAAGTCTCTACTTGTCTATTTGCCCCACAGCTTGGGACTTAGGCTGTCTCTTTGTATTTGGATCATTATAGTGGTTATTCATGTGTTCATAAAGAGTTCATCTTGAAGTGGTTGAATTATTTATTACCACATAACTTTTCCTGTGTTGATGGCATGTTTTAATTCCAGAGATGCAGGTCCACGATGGGCACTAGATTTTTACCCTCTCTTCCTTTATACGGGTTGGTGGGAGAGGACCCACATCTTTGGAGATGTCAACCCTTTTCAGTCTCAAATTACATTTTTTTTGGTCATAGAGAATTTGATTTTTGTTTGGTATTTTTTCTTTAGCTGAGTTTCTTATGTATTTGAATGACAACAAGCTGAACATAAAAGGATACATGGATAGCCACCGATCTAATTTGTGGATGTGACAGTAATTGGACATGAAGGAAGAGTTTTACTAGCCTATATGGAAATCCTCTGTCAGGGAACAGCATCTTGAGAGCAGATTTTGGTCACCCAAGACATACAATTAGAAGGAAACAACAATAGTGTGGTGCTACAAAACACCTCCCCCTTATTTGAACAACTACTTTAGTTAGTGCTTTTTTGTGACCCCCAGTTGATTATTATACATAAATTTTACTGATGTGTTAAAACTCCTTTATACAGAATGACAGATAAACTACTAATTTTACCTATATAATATAAATGTAGTAAATCATGTGTTATACCTTCCCCACATATAATATATGTGCATATACTACAAAACACCTCCCCCCCGTTAAACATATACACATATGCAATTAAATGTAATATCTGCTGTGCGACAAATAAATACTGTGCAATTATCAAAATTAATCAATAAATACAATGTGTAATTAAAAAGTCCTTAGAGTGCTTATTCGTGCAGTTCCTATAAAGTACTCATGAAGATAAAGTGCTGTATCCAGGGGCGGACTGACAACTCATGGGGCCCCCGGGCAATAGGGGATCATGGGGCCCCTGTATCTTTGCCCAAACTCAAAAAAGCCTATGAAAAAAAAGTACCAGGGGCATCTCATGGGGCTCCCTACTGACCCCCCGGGCCCTCGGGCAGTGCCCGAGTTTCCAAATGGTCAGTCCCGCCCCTGTCTGTATCCACACTTCTCAGTATGTGTGACACCCGTGCTCCCCTCCTTGAACCGCACTCCCCAGAGTTCCAGGATCCCTTGATTCACAAGCGGGTCAAATGCACTCTGTTCACCACCATCTGTATCCTCCCTGGGTGTATACTCAGCCGGTATCAGGTCTCCTCCTTACTCCTCCACTCCACTGATATGTACCAAGGGAAACAAAGAGCAAGTTCCAATAGTGTTATACTGTTTATTAAACATTTTCACAGATTTACAAAAATGCACTTAGAATAATAGGAGGGGAGCATGGGTGTCACACATACTGAGGAGTGTGGATACCACACTTTATCTTCATGAGCACTTTATAAGGACTGCACTAATAAGCACTTTTTCTGAGGACTTTTTAATTTCATATTGTATTTGATTAATTTTGACAATTGCACAGTATTTGTCACACAGGAGATATTACATTAAATTGCATAGGTTTATACATTTAACGGGGGGTAGGTACATGTCCATATATTATATGGGGGGAAGGTGTTTACCACATATTTACTGTATATTATATAGGTAAAAATGGTAGTTTATCTTTCAGGGGGAGGTGTTTTATAGCACATGCACATACTGTATGAAGAAGGTGTTTTAGCACATCAGTAGGGTTTGTATGTAACAATCAATTGGGTGTCACAAAAAAAGCACTAATAACTAAAGGAGTTGTTCAAATAAGGTGTAGAGCCACACCAATATCTGTTTCTATATTTGTGTCCCTATAGGGATATAAAGGTGGTGTGTCAGGGGCTGCTCTAGCATACATTTGTGTTGTTCATCCATAGCACGGATATTTATTTGTTTTTACAATTAGAGGAGTACCGTTACCTGCTGTCAGTCATGATGCAGAATTTAAAAGGGAGGCTGTCCTGCTGGGTAAACACTTTTGCCAGTGGGGATAATCTAGACCAGCGGTTCTCAACCTGTGGGTCGCGACCCCTTTGGGGGTCGAACAACCCTTTCACAGGGGTCTCCTAAGACCATCGGAAAACACATATTTCCGATGGTCTTAGGAACTGAGACACCGCTCCTCTATCAGTCTCCAGGCGGGTCCGCCCACATGCAGATACATCCACATTTCCCTGGACGCGATGTGTGCGCGGGATGACATGCCGCCCCTGTCACCTGGCCACATCCCCGGGATCACTCAACAGCTCTGCCTCCTCACCAGTGATTGGCCGCCGGAACTGTAGCTCAGGAGAGGCACACAGGCGGCCAATCACCGGCAAGGAGGAGGAGCCGAGCAGCAGCGCAAAGATCAAAGAAGATAGAGCAAGGGAGCGGCCGGAGAAGGAAGACAGCTGACAGGTAAGTGTCTGTAGCGTGCAGATGGTGCTGCTGCAGCCAGGTATGCTGGCTGTAGATGGGAGAGGGAGGGAGCAAGCCCAGGCTGGAGCAGGAGTCAGCAAGGTAAGTATCATTGGTGTCAGTAGGAGGAATAGTGCCCCATCATTTGTGTCACTAATACCAATGATGGGGCACTATTCCTCCCACTGACACCAATGATGGGGCACTATTTCCCCCCCCCCCCCCCACTGACACCAACGATGGGGAACTATTCCTCCCCCCACTGACACCAACGATGGGGAACTATTCCTCCCCCCACTGACACCAACGATGGAGCACTACCCCCCCACTGACACCAATGATGGGGCACTATTCCCCCCCCCACACTGACACCAATGATGGGGCACTATTCCTCCCACACTGACACCAATGATGGGGCACTATTCCTCCCACTGACACCAAAAATGTGTCACTATTCCTCCCACTGATACCAATGATGGGACACTATTCCTCCCACTGATACCAACGATGGGATACTATTCCTCCCACTGACATCAGTGATGTGGCACTACTCCTCTCACTGACACCAATGACATGGCACTACTCCTCCCACTGCAAAATTACAGTTATGAAGTAGCAACGAAAATAATTTTATGGTTGGGGGTCACCACAACATGAGGAACTGTATTAAAGGGTCTCGGCATTAGGAAGGTTGAGAACCACTGCTCTAGACAGTGTAAATTGCCAGAACCACACCAAGGGAGAGTTTATTAAAAGACAAAGGTAAGGATAAGAAACACCATGGGACATCAGTTTTTTTAAACCGCCTTTAGTTTGGAGTTCAATAAAGTTAAAATGATTGTAGAAAATATCTTCCAGTATTATACAAAGATGAGGTACAGTGGATATAAAAATTCTACACACCCGTTAAAATGTCAGGTTTCTGTGATTTAAAAAAAAATTAGACAAAGATAAATCATGTCAGAACTTTTTCCACCTTTAATGTGACCTATAAACTGTACAACTCAATTGAAAAACAAACTGAAATCTTTTAGGGGGGGGGGGAAGTAAACATAAAAAACTAAAATAATGTAGTTGCATAAGTGTGCACGCCCTCTTATAACTGGGGATGTAGCTGTGTTCATTCAAAATCATGTTAAATAGGAGTCAGTACACACCTACCATCATTTAAAGTGCCTCTGATTAACCCCAAATAAAGTTCAGCTGTTCTAGTAGGTTTATCCTAGCATTTTCTTAGTTGCATCCTACAGCAAAAGCCATGATCCGCAGCAGGGGCGGACTGACAACTCATGGGGCCCCCGGGCAATAGGGAATTATGGGGCCCCTGTGTCCTTGCCAACACCCAAAAAAGCCTATGAAAAAGCCAATAAAAGGTACCAGGGGCATCTCATGGGGCCCCGTACTGACCCTGCTCTCTCGGGCAGTGCCCAAGTGGCTAAATGGTCAGTCCACCCCTGGTCCGCTGAGAGCTTCCAAAGCATCATCTGGATCTCATTGTAAAAAGGTATCAGTCAGGAGAAGGGTACAAAAGAATTTCCAAGGCATTAGATATACTGTGGAACACAGTGAAAACAGTCATCATCAAGTGAAGAAAATATGGCGCAACAGTGACATTACCAAGAAGTGGACATCCCTCCAAAATTTATGAAAATACGAGAAGAAAACTGGTCTGGCAGGCTGACAAGATGCCTACAGCAACATTAAAAGAGGTGCAGGAATATCTGACAAGTACTGGCTGTGTGTCAGGAATGGACTTGCCAATAATGGTGGGACTCACCTGCCTTGTGGGCTGCAGTACCAGGGCTGGCTAGCAGGTGCTCTCAGCAATCAGAGACTCACCCCTGCAGTCAGCCAAACACCTGAAGCTGATTGCAGGGGTTGTATTTAAGGAATGGCCAGACTCACAGTCAGGGCCTTGGTGTGTGTGTTTTTCCATGGGCCCCTGTATCTTGTATCCTGTGTTCCTGTTTCTGCCTGACTTGTTGCTGACCCTGCCTGATCCTGACCTCTGCTGACTTCTCCTGTTTGATCCCTGGCTTGTGACCCTGACCATTCTCTGCCTGACCCTCTGCACCGCGCTGCCCGTGAGTTACTGAACCCAGCTTGTGACCCCGACCACTCTCCCGCCTGTTCCTGGTACTCCGTTTGCCCGTTTGCTACTGACCCGGCCTGCCTGACGACTCTTGCATTGTATGTATATTGTTATCTGTAGGTGGTTTGGTTTGTTTGCACTGTGTTTATGTTTAGTTTTGCACTGCGTTTTGTATTGTTAAGTCTTAATAAATCATATTGTTTATACCATATCTGAAGCCTGCGTTTCCCTGTGTCAGTCCACACACCTCTGGTCATACCCGGAGCCCTGACACTGTGTGGTACATGTGACAACAATCTCCCGTATTCTTCATATGTTTGAGCTATGGGGTAGAGCGACAAGACAGAAGCCTTTTCTTATGAAGAAAAACATTCTAAAATTTGCAAAAACACATCTGAAGTCTCCCAAAAGCATGTGGGAAAATGTGTTATGGTCTGATGAAACCAAGGTTGAACATTTTGGCCATAATTCCAAAAGATATGTTTGGTGTAAAAACAAGACTACACATCATCAAAAGAACACCATACCCACAGTGAAGCATGGTGGTGGCGGCATCATGCTTTGGGGCTGTTTTTCTTCAGCTGGAACTGGGGCCTTAGTCAAGGTAGAGGGAATTATGAACAGTTCCAAATACCAGTCAATATTGGCACAAAACCTTCAGGCATCCGCTAGAAAGCTGAACATGAAGAGGAACTTTCAGCATGACAATGGCCCAAAGCATACATCCAAATCACCAAAGGAATGGCTTCACCAGAAGAATACTAACATTTTGGAATGGCCCAGCCAGAGCCCAGACCTGAATCCGATCGAAAATCTGTGGGGTGATCTGAAGAGGCCTGTGCACAGGAGATGCCCTCACAATCTGACAGATTTGGAGTGTTTTTGCAAGGAAGAGTGAGCAAATATTGGCAAGTCAAGATGTGCCATGCTGACGGACTCATAACCAAAAAGACTGAGTGCTGTAATAAAATCAAAAGGTGCTTCAACAAAGTATTAGATTAAGGGTGTGCACACTTATGCAACCATATTATTTTAGTTTTTTTTTTTTTACTTCCCTCCACCTAAAAAATTTCAGTTTGTTGTTCAACTGAGTTGTACAGTTTATAGGTTACATTAACCACTTGCTCTCCAGAGGATTTACCCTCCTTCCTGACCAGACCATTTTGTGCATTACGGTGCTGCGTTACTTTTAACTGACAATTGCGCAGTCATGTAACCTACACCAAAATGAAATTTACATCCTTTTTTTCCCACAAATAGAGCTTTCTTTTGGTGGTATTTGATCGCCTGTGCGGTTTTTTTTTTTGTGCTATAACAAAAATTGACAATTTTGAGAAAAATACAATATTTTTTACTTTTTGCCATTAAACATGTCCAGTAAAAAAAATTTAAAACTCAAATTTCATCATAAATTTAGGCCAAAATGTATTCTGCCAAATGTCTTTGCTAAAAAAAAAAATCCCAATACGGGGGTAAATTAATTGGTTCACTCGAAAGTTATAGCGTTTACAAATGGCGGTATTTGTTTTTTTTTTACTAGTAATGGCAGCGATCAGCGAATTATAGCGGGACTGTGGCGGGCATTCTGACACTGGGGGGAACTGACTTGGTGTCATTAACATCCCCAGTGACACCAATACAGTGATCAGTGCTAATAAAAAGCACTGACACTGTACTAATGGAACTGGGCAGGAAGAGGTTAACATGTGGGGCGATCAAAGGGTTAACTGTGTGCTGTTTATAACTGTGTGCTGTGTTTGTTCTTCACTGTAAGCACACTGCTTTGCATGGCTGTGCTATGCACAGCCATGTAAAGCAGTGTGCAGGAGCTGACGGGGGAGAGAACTGTTTTGTTTACAAACAATTCATTCCCCCGTCAGAGATGTTCAGCAATCACCGGGTGCCGGCGAGTAATCACTGGCCGATCCTGGAGATTGACAGCCACGGCCGCAAATGGCGGCACGGGTAGGGCGTACGCGCCTTGCATAGCAGAGAAATACAAAGTACTGTGCTGACAGAGTAAAACACGTACACAGTTAACCCTTTGATCACCCCAGATGTTAACCCCTTCCTGCCCAGTGTCATTAGTACAGTGTCAGTGCTTTTTATTATCACTGATCACTGTATTAGTGTCTCTGGGGATGTCAGTGGCAGTTAGTCAGTTCCCCCCAGTATCAGAATGGCCGCTGCAGTCCCGCAGTCCCACTATAAGTCGCTGATCGCCGCCATTACTAGTGTAAAAAAAAAAAAAATACAGTATCTATAACACCATTTGTAGACGCTATAACTTTCACGTAAATCAATTAATTTACACGTATTGGGATTTTTTTAAGCAAAGACATGAGCAGAATACATTTTGGCATAAATTTATGATAAAATGTCATTTTTAAAATTTTTTTACTGGACATGTTAAATAGTAAAAAGTCAAAAATATTGGGTTTTTTTCTCAAAACTGTGGGGTTTTTTTTCTTTATAGCGCAAAAAAAAATTAAAAACACAAAGGCAATCAAATAGCACTGAAAAAAAACTCCATTTGTGAGGAAAAAAGGACATAAATTTCATTTGTGTGCAGCATTGCATGACTGCGCAATTGTCAGTTAAAATAGTGCAGCGCCTTATCGCAAAAAATGGCCTGATCAGGAAGGGGGGGGGGGGGGGTAAATCCTCTGGAGGGCAAGTGGTTAAGCTTTACTTGTTTACAATGGAGAACTGCTCAATGAGATGAGTTATCTTAACTGTGCCATTTTTTAGCTGACTTTTTTTTCTTTTTAAATTGAAGCAACATGCTGATTCTGGCATGGAGAAATCCAGCATGGCCAAGTTAACTGGAAACTTGTTTTTA